AGGTTCTTTAATTCCTCCTCACTTTCTGCCATCAGAGTGGTATCATCTGCATATCAGAGGTTGTTGATATATCTTCCGGCAATCTTAATTCCGGCTTGGGATTCCTCCAGTCCAGCCTTCCGCATGATGTATTCTGCATATAAGTTAAATAAGCAGGGAGACAATATACAGCCTTGTCGTACTCCTTTCCCAATTTTCAACCAATCACTTGCTCCATATCCAGTTCTAATTGTTGCTTTCTGTCCCACATATAGGTTTCTCAGTAGATAGATAAGGTGGTCAGGCACTCCCATTTCTTTAAGGACTTGCCATAGTTTGCTGTGGTCCACACAGTCAAAGGCTTTTGCATAGTCAATGAAGCAGAAGTAGATATTTTTCTGGAACTCTCTGGCTTTCTCCATAATCCAGTGCATTTTAGCACTTTGGTCTCTAGTTCCTTGTAATTTTAATATACTATAAACCCAGTACAAAGCTTGCAAACCTCATATTTTAGGGGGAGTTCCTTACAATTTTAACATAGTGTACTTATATTTTTATTGTTAACTTTAACAATTAGTTTACAGCAAATATATAATAATATCGATATTATAACTCGGCGATGGATAAGTCAATGCTGGCCTCTTAATGAGTTTGATACAGGAGGAAAAGAGCCAATTGTTATAGAATCATAGAGTAATTAAGTTGGAATTCGTTATAACCTGCTTCAGAATTTTCCCTGGGATTGATGTCAGGCCAAGTGATCTGTAGTTCCCAGGTTCCTCCTTCTGCCATTTTTGAAGATAAGGGTGTTAGCCCTCCTCCAATCATCTGGCACTTCACCCATCCTCCATGATTTCAAGAAAATAGAAAACAGTGGTTCTGAGAATTCTTCAGCCGGTTCAATGCTCCTGGATGGAGTTCATCTGGCCCTAGAGATCTGAACTCTGATATTCCTTGACTATTTATCAGTCTCAAGCTAAGATATTCCTTGATTATTTATCAGTCTTAAGCTGCAATTTTGTCTTCTCCATTAGTACTTCAAATTTGCCAGGACAGTCATAGACTATTGGGAAAAGACTGAGCTAAAGTGGGGTTAGAGCATGGCTGTCTTTTCTTTGTCATTTATTAACCTTTTTTGCATCCCCACTGAGTAGCTCAGCCACTACTTTTTTCTCTCTTTTGCTACACATGTACATTGTGTTTTTGTTGCTTTTAGCGTCACTTGCTAACCTCAGCTAATTCTCAGCTTTTGCCTCCCTACCACCATCCATACAATTCTTTGCTAGTTGTCTATACTCTTCCTTTGTGACTTGGCTTTCCTTCCACTTCCAACAGTCTATCTGTCCTTTTTTGTTTTCAGGTCCTCTCTGAGCTTTTTGTGAAGCTACAGTGTTTTTTGCTGTCTCCCACCTTTTTTCCCTTGTTCTAATTTGTTTGTAGTTCTGCCTTCAGAATTTCCCCTTTAAGAAATGTCTACTCATCTTTATCAGAATATTGTGGCCCATAATGTAGAATGTACTCTTTGTACAAGAACGAGACTGCATGAACCAGAGTGTTCTACTAGGAATCCATTTTATAACAGGTGTGTCTTGAGCTGTAGTTGATGAAATACTCAAAATGTGCATTAGGCATGATGTAATATCAAGGAGAGGACGATAATGTGATGTGCCAGTGATTGATTGTTTAACACTATATAAGAGCTGCACACTAGACTGGAATATGGAGCTTTATATGAAGAGTTGCTGCACAAAGTGCTGTCTGTTTATTTTACAGATAAGTGTATTGTCTGCTGTACATAACTTTGTTGTACATATTTTGTAAATACATTACTGGAAAGGAATCTCTGTGAGTCTCTTTACCATTGATGTGGAAGACTGCCTTGTCTCGGATCCATTCCCACACCCCAATCCTGGACTCCTTTTTCCTGTTAGTATCTCCTGCCACGGAACCGTTCTTGACAATCCTGGACTCCTTTTCCTGTTAGTATCTCCTGCCACGGAACCTTACTTATCGTTGTTCTGAATATATTAAAATTGGTTTTCCAAAAACCCAGTGTACATGTGTGGCTACACTCTGCTTTTTTCCCCTTTGAATTCAGGAACTCAAGTAGAATTATATACAGTTCACCATCTTTCTTCCATGGATCCAAGAAGAACCTGAAGGAGTATCTCCTGAAGTATGCAGTTGTCCTTAATGATAAAAATGCTACGGCCACAGTGTACTGCCAAAGGCAAGCACTTTTAACATCTTTGAAAGAAAATACACACACACACCATAGCAGGGTAACATTGGACTATATCCTTTCCCTTATACAAGCAAAGCACAGAATAAACTAATCTCAGTGCTCGCCATTCTGTCTCTCAAAAGAAAGGAATCCCAATTTAAGTGGCTTCCTGCAATTCCTAGGGCACGGAGAAAATTACAGCTAAATATTCCAAGCCAGTGCATACTAAGACTTGAAGAAACATTACTGCTAGATCTACCATGACATGACTAAATTTTGCCTATTCATATTTCGTGCACCTATTTAGTGCTTTCAATATTCAAGGCGTGCTCTCATGCTTTAGCTCTCATATGGCTGAGATTGGTTTTCCTTTGCTGTGTATTTAGTAAATACGTTGTTAATGTACCATATTTTTCGCACCATAAGACGCTGTGTATCTAGTAAATACATTGTTAATGTATTTCATATCTCTGATAACAATGCTATAGGTTTACAGAACCTCATGTGACTATAAAACAACTACCATATTTTTCTAGTAAATACATTGTTAATGTATTTCATATCTCTGATAACAATGCTATAGGTTTACAGAACCTCATGTGACTATAAAACAACTACCATATTTTTCTGTGTATAAAACAACACTTTTTCCTTAAATAATTAGACAAAATTAGGGCTGTTTTATACATGGAAGGCAGCTGCTTTCCCTGCCTTTTGCGAAGCCACTGGGATTAGCAAAAAGAAAGGGAAATCTCCCTTCGCATAAAGCAGCTGTGAAAGGGCTGCACAATTGCAGCCCTTTGATCCTGAAGCCCTTTAATGGCTGCTTTACCCACTTCCTTTGCTGTGTAGGGCTTAGGAAGTGCAGCCTTTACCTGAAGGGAGCCTTCCTTTCCTTTTTGCTAAGCCCCGTGGCTTTGCAAAAGGCAAGGAAAAGTGGCCTTTAAAGGCAGCCCTTTGATCCCTACTTTTCCCTTCCTTTTGCTAAGCTCCATGGCTTAGCAAAAGGAAGGGAAAAGCAGGGATCAAATTTTCTAATTTGGGGTTAGAAAAGGGGGGGTCATCTTATACATTTGGTTGTCTTATAAGCAGAAAAATATGGTGATTTGTGCTTTAATTTACCCTGAATATTTATTTATTTATTTATTCAAAGTATTTTTATCCCGCCTTTCTCCTTAAAAAGGATCAAACCTGTATACAGTCTGAAATTGACAATGTTAATAGTTCAAATATTTTCACCATTTTCATGTGATTTTGCCTTTGAATAAAAATATTCCCAACAGACCTGAAAAGAATAATGGTCAAAAACTTATTTGGTATGCCGCTAGCTTTCAGAAGCAAATTGCCACAAGTCAAGAATTCAGCATAGGCTTTTCCTATCATACTGTACATTGGGTGTGTGACTTGTTATGTGACAAGAAATACCTATTCTTACTTCTTAACATGAAGCAATCAGCCTCTGAAAGTTATACCAATTGTTTTATGCTGAGATGACATCATTTGACTAGTGAACTTAACTTGTAATTCAGTGTTTTGAAACAAGCTAGACTGTACAGAACTATAAAACATGTGTCTAATTCAAGAAAAAATGCACGAAAAAGACAGGCTTACCTTATTTTATTGCCACCATCTTGGTTGCAAACTGGTAACAGATCCATCAGTACCTTGTAGAAATACCTTAGGGTGAAGTCAATGCCCATCACAGCTACAGAGTGGCCAGAAGACATTTGTGAACTACAACAATAAGAGGTGTGAGTGGGTATTGAGAGACATGTTAGAGAGAAAACATTCAAAATATTTCATATTTTTAAGCACCCACAGAAATATCAAGTAAAATGTAGCTTATACATTCTGAAGTTGATTGTCCTGTCAAAGAGCTGCAGGTGTTAAAAAACTGGTCACTGTGACTGCAAATAGTAATGAAGGAGTGAAAGCTGAGATTTGGGGCAATGTTCATTCACTCAGCTTTCTCTAAAGCCTTCTATGAGAGTGTGTGATGGACATCTATGCGAAGCTCTTAGCTTTTTGTAAAACTAGCCCTACTAGGTGTTTCCCTCTGGAAGAAAGAGTAGACAATAGAGATGTGTACATTTCTGGTTTTGGACTAAAACTTCCAGAATTCCCCAGAGAACATGAACACTGCCTGTATTGCCTAGGGGAATTCTGGGAGTTATAGTCCAAAAACATGACTATAAACCTATCAGGTACACAAGGCTGAGTAGACATGGTCTAGAGGGGCGGGGTAAAAAATCAAATAAATAAACAAACAAACAAACAAACAAACAAATAAGGCTCTGTGCTCTAGGATGAGCAGTGCTGCCATCCTCACAGTTTTCAGTCTTGTTAGATCACACTAGCCATCATTTCCCAGTTAAGAATTGCACTGTAGATTTGTAGTCTGTTTTAAAAAATGTTGTAGAAGGCAACAACAAAAATATTCCATTAGGGATCAGTGGTTAAGGAATCCTGTAAATCCCACTCTGCTAATTCAACAAATTGAATTGCTTCAATTTCCAACATTAATGGCAACTAATTAACTTCCCAATTTCCAACAGATAACACCAGCAAACTGCTTTTCAAGCCTAACATTCCAGGTTTTGCTAAGAAGCAGCACTTCTCTTCCCAAGCCTCTTGCTTTTTGGCATTCTTCATAATCTTTGTGTAAGTATCTAGATAGTAGCTGTTTATCACCTTCTCTTCTACCTTAAGTGATCTCTGCTGAAGTATTTTCCTTATAAAAACATAGCAGAACTACCATTTCATAACAGTTAAGGGCATCAGCCATTTAAAAAAATAGTGCTGGTCTCCATTAAATGTAAGAATGCTATATCCACTTTTAGAAATCCTTGACTGTAAACAAAGTAAATCCTTTGGCTCATCAGGGTCTACAGGTCCCCTGAAGCATTAAACCAGTTACAGAAATATAGAAGCCTTCTGCGGGTAGATGCTGTTTAAAGGATCAGATTCCTTTCAGCTTCTGGGGAACTGTGTGGCCTTCAGACCTTCTGCTTATTAAAATTCTTCACAGCTTTTCACTTATCCTGCCATCATGAGAAAGGGAATATGAATTCCCTGTAAAGATGCTAAAATTCCAAGTAGCTGAAAGGTCATTTCCCCCCCTCTATTGGATTTTTGTTCTAATTCCCATGTGAAAGTTTGGGTTTAAAATGAATACGGACATAGAATAACCCACAATGTAGGTTAGAATACTCGGATTTAAGCCTAAAATCAGCTTATGTTCAATTGTTCCAAGTTATACTGGTTCGTGGATAATTTGCTGAAAAGATTGTCTTGTTAAATCTGTGATTTTTCTCCACTTGTAACAGAGCTTAGAAATTCAGTGCCAAGATACTCCACACTTTCTAATGGGTAAAAATCCATGAAATCAAAATCTTTACAACAATAGATTTAGTCTGTGCTCCATCAGAGTGCCACAGTGTAAATCTTGAGGAATCCCCTGCACCAAAGAATCTGGTACTAGGCTACCTGGATGAAACCAGGCAATTTCAGAAACTGAAAAGTGAACATCACACAGTAAAATCAGTATTGACAGAAGCAGTCTGTTATCAATGGTCACAAGCTTCTCTCAAAGGGGCTGCACTACATTTGTGCCCTTTCAATCTTAGGTTAATCGAAACCGTTATAATCTCTATGAGACATGCTTCAGCTATGGAGGTCCTATATCCACAGTAGTTTAACAGACAAAAGTCTGGGTGTACATCTTCTTGATTTACTATTGGTGCCAAACATTTCTACCTGGGGAACAAACAGTATGTTGTTTTGTTTTAGACTTGGCTGGCAGTGCCATGAAATGCTCAGCTATACAGTAATAACATGTCAGCAAGGTTACAGGGCAGCTAGCACAATACCCTAGATTAGAGATGAGCATGAAGCATTTCCTGCTGAGGCATCTTAAGCTGTTGGCGTAGCACCATGGGCGTTCCCTACCCCCCACTCACCAGCCAGCGAACACTGCTCATTCCCTCCCATCATATGAACTTCACATCCCACCAGGAGTACAGCCTTCCCTTCTCCACCTCCTCCAGCAGCTGCCCACTCAGATGAGGAGACAGAGCAGAGATTCCTGCAGTGCTGCCTGCTCCTGCTGGAACTAGAAGACTGAGTGACAGGGAAGGAACGAGCGGTGCATACTGGCTGGTGAGTGGAGGAGCCGGCGGAGGGGTAGGGAACGTGCTGCACCTGTGGTGACATGCTGACAACTTAAGATAACCCAGCATGAAGTGCTTCGTGCCCATCTCTATTCTAGATGCTTTGGAACTTTGCTTCTTCCCTGTCTCCAAATCTAAACCACCTATAACCAAAGAGGAGTTCTGGAGAACTAAAAACCCTGCCTAACTTACAGCTTTTTAGTGATTCAATAAAGGTGTTCTGCACCCCAAATTTTGTTTTCTATTAATAAATTGCATCTTTACTTTTGTTTTTCTATTGGGTAGTGCAAGCACCCCTGCAGTGGGGGAAATACCATTCCCCGTGCCATCTCACTTCAGTTGTATTGGCTTTTGTGAAACAAGGATGGCAAATTGTGGACCATCGGAGGTCATTGAGCTGCAACTCCTATAGTCCCTTCCCATTTGCTATCCCGGCTGATGTGGACAGAAGCTACAGCCCAGCAACATCTGGAGAGCCACACTCTTAGTCTAAAATGGCAATAGTATGAAACTGCTACTCTACCTACATTTCCATTTATATCTCAACTTTCAAACAAGGGCATCAAGGCAGTGTACCTACTTCTCTCTCCTTTCTCCCTAGCATGATTTAACATAGCAGGCATACTACATACTTTTGCATGTCATTTTTCTTTTATGTCACTATAATTTTTTCCCTCTATCTATAAACAACACTCATACACCTGTCAATTCAAGACATCCCTTTTTGCATCTGAGGCAGTGGATTCACAAAGGCTTGTGCTGTAATAAATGTGTTTCTCTTCATTATTTCTGCTGCAAGTCAAGATGAGAGACACTGACTAGATAGTGACCAGAAACAAACCAGGGCATAAATGCTGTCTCCACAGCAGAAAAGCCTACTGTGTTCTCCTGAACTATGAATTGGAAATAAATACACATTCATTTTTTTTGGGGGGGGATCCCCAATTGTGTGGAAATGCTCTATTAATTCAGTGTGCCTTTAGCATTCCACTACTTAAATTACAGTCTGTTGGTTTTCCTACATGTATTCCCATTCTCCTGAGCCAACATGTCAATTATTCTCTTTCCTCATGTTTCAGTTTTTAATGGAAGCTAGAAATTTTTACATTATCAAAATAAATAAATAAATAAAATAAAAATCCCAAAGTTGCTTCCTCCTACCCTGATCCAAATAAGCAACTTGTATAGCAGGTCTTAGCCGGCCACAGTCATGATAATTTGAACTAGATATGATGGTGTGGATATTCAGTATGTGCTGTGTGCACGCTACTGCTTTAAAAGATGTAGAGGTAGCACTGCTGTGAATAAATGATAACATCTTGCCCATATGTGGAGGTCTGGCAATACCCTGTTTGGCTCCACAGCTCAAGACTACATATTGTTGCCTTAGCAACTGATACATCAAAGGAGCATAAAACACAGTCTTTGAGAGTCTATACTGGCATATTTTTATAACAGTGTTTCGATGGGGAAAACAGAAGCTTCTTCCTTTCCTTAAGTCAATTGGTGCCACTTCCCACTCCTAAACTGTTCCGAAGCAATTCTATAGGAAAATATTAATGAAGAATTCACTAGAGGATGCTAATAGCTAAGGCAGGCATAGCTAGTCACAAGAAATCTCAGAGAATCAAAAGGAACACTTTCTTTGAAGTTTCCAGTTCGGTGAGGCTAAGGATTCTATCTCACCAGCAGAAACACTTTCTCAACATATTTTGCCCCACATATTTTAAAGGGTCAGTGATCCTGGGTGTGCATGTGAAAAAGTATACATGCAGTGACAATGTTATGTGTTTAGTGTGTCATACGTACATAGCTGGGCTTCAATGAGGTAACTACCTCACTGGAGCCCACATGTGCATGACACATGAAACATTATTGTTTAATACATGCCAGCCAATGTTTTCAAATATTATTATATTCCTATGACTAAGAATATCCTTCTGTGATCCAACCCGTTCCCCTGTCCCATTGATTTACTTGTACTGGGAATATTTCTCCTTTGATTAACTTTAATTGTGGACTAAGGACAAAGTCATGATGGTACTGCCAAAAGCATTTTACCTTGAAGAATGAACTGTATGACTGATGGTGACCACATAGCCAGCTCCTCCAACATCTAAATAAGGTCCAGTGAAAGTAATTAATCCTGGATTCGCCAGTGCATGGAGATACCTAACAGAAAACAAAGGAAACAATATTGTTATAATTAAGTAACAGTCTGTGAAAAAAACTGAATAGGGAAAAATATCTGCAAAACCTCTGGAACACAAAAAGTTCATGTTGCATTAACTGGGGACCACTGCAAGCTATGTGCAAAATGAATTTCTTTCAGATTTGCAGATGTGGCCCCATGTACCTTTTCAGAATTACATAAACATCATCATCATCATCTTAGAACTACAGAGCTGGAAGAGACCCTACAGATCATATATTGCATAGATTTAAATGGGTCAATTTTGGTTATGGTCATTAGGTTTGGTTTGGTTTCAAGTATTGTATGGTGATGCCTTGATTTTCAAAATAATAGACAGAAGTCCCATAAACCGAGTGAGGAGATGCAACAAGCGATATATAAATCATTTCAGAGACCTGGCCCAAAGAATAAGTGTAATCAAAATATACTGAGCATTTGCTTTTTCAAAAAAAAAAAACAAAAAAAAACATTCTGGGGGTGATCCTATCTTTGTTTTTCTAGGGTATTTCTTGCTGCTGTCAGGATAGCTCTTCTGCCCCCATCCCCTTGCCGCTTTGAAATGTACTCTATGAACATTCATCTAATTAAAACAGGGTTGCTTTTTCAAGCGTCTTAAGATGCACTGTGATTATGAGGGGGGGAAAAAGAAGTATGTGACCTATGGAGGGAGAGCAAAATTATTTCAGTCATCCTGCACTTTACTGTCTGTGCAGAGACGCACAAAAAAAATACAGAACAGCATGCTGGTAGAAGTGACAGACAGCATGAGTAGCCTGAGAGAAAAATCCTGGTTATAGTCATTCGGTAATATTCACTCATTTGTGGCTTGATTTGCAGTGCTCCCTTAGCCCTGGTTCATTTTAACACAGCATATGGAATGGAGCACATTCAGAAGTTCCCTTGTGTTTATTATCTCATTTGCAGTGTATACAAAAGGTTTTCTTAAACCATGCTTGTGCATAATTAATAGACTTACGTTACACTGGCATAATTGTATACAGAAGTTGATCATGGGAAATGTTCATAACAAGAAAGCTGCTGCATGAAACAGAGAGACACAAAAACACCACAAGGATTTGAAATTCATAATAAGAATCACATGAGATAAGTGCCAAAGGATTTTAAAAGTAGCATGAATTTTGGGAGGTAGTTCTCTGTATGTAGATACACCGCTATTTTGATTATCTACTGATGTGCCAAAGGGCAAGAAACAGAAGCTAATTTTTAAAAAGCAAGCATCCAATGAGATTTCTATTACAAATATGATAATATTTATGTATACTAATTCATGTAGAACTCTTTCATCTGTCTATTTTACCAAGATTTTCTACAAAGCCTATGTCAGATATTTCCTCTCTTCTGCAATATTATCAACCTCGAAGGTTTTCTTAAACCTTTTATAATGGGATCCTAAAACTCACCATTGTCTCCTAGTGGGATCAAATGCTTTGTCCATGAGGGAACCAGGATAAATTCTGAGCACCCCATTGGGCGTTGCTATGTAACGGCGGACAATGTAACTGTTCAAGCTACTCATTTCCATTTGTGTCATCCATTCATCTGTGACGTGACTGGTAGCCATTACTTCATTTCTGACAGAGAACTGCAAAACAAAGACAGACCTAGCAGGGTTCCTCTAAGACTTGCCTGAAAAGATAATAAGCTGCTTGCAGGGTTTCCTAAAGACTCATCAGAGATAATCTAAACCCAATTACTTCTTTAAAATCTTCTCACAGCAGATGGACCCCGCAAATTTTTTTAAAAAAATTATAACCAAGGAATTATTGCTGCTATTGTTCACAATGTATACTACATATTATACATCACAATATATGATGTTTTGCTGCACTTTACTACACTTTGTATCGATCTAAATCTCTTTTGCACTTTTGCTTTATGCGCCTTGTAAAAGGAAGAATATATCTGTTCTTTTTGTAGCACTGATCTCATGTTCTTATTGTTCATACTCATATGATCTAATGTGAACTTCCTTTTGAGAGAAATATTGTATCTGAGGACTCTTAAAACTTCACCAGGACAAAGACCACTATGTTTGGAACTCCATCTCAGAATCCAACTAGCTGAGAGACAAAAAGTTGAACTAAAACAAGTCAGTTATCTTTTTTTAACCCCGTGACAGCACTTTCTTGCATCCATTTGCTATGTTCCTCAGTATAATGCCATAGTCTTCACACTGACAAAAAAGCAAAAATTTCAAGTTCCACTCCTCCCAAAAAACTTAGCTACTTCTGTAAAATCTTCTTCCACCAAGTGAACCTAGCAAATGTCCAAGCAAGACCATCATGACAACAAAGATGACAAAGGGTCAAAATTAGAAAGAGTTTAAAAAGCATACTTTCAGACCAGGGTTGGCAATGAGACGTGTGTTGTCACTAAGATATGCTGTATAGTGCTCCACCATCCTCTTGGTCTCAGGTTGGCTCAGATGTTCATATGGAGAAGAGAAGCTGCCTGCAGACAGCATTACTGTAGGGCTTTCTGGAAAGACAACACAGGTAAACTCTATATACCAGAAGATACCAGCTAAATCCAATCACATAAATACTCAGATTCCTACTTGCTACAAGTACTATAGGAGAGCACCTAAACATGAAAGACTGAGGATGTATGCTCCAAGAAATGCATCTCAAATGTCCATGTTGTGTATGTAGCCACCAGAGGGTAGTGTTGTTGCAACAGTGTGATGTATTATGCAACAACAGCTATGCAAGAGAGGAGGAGAAACACCTGTTGCAGAAGAATCCCATAGGAAAACGAAGCAGCTTATGTAGAGGAAAGACAATAGAGGGTACCTACATCCAGGGATAGTATTAAAGGGTACATCAAAAGTGAGAAAAGCTTCAGTTACCACAGCCTGTTTCAGGACTTCTTCCTACAACCAATCTGGCCAGGGTCAGTCTGAGACATTGTGTTCTCTAAGATAGACCTGTAGAGGGTGACCTTTCTTACCCAAAGTAAGATGCATAGTACCTAAAAATTGGTCAAGTTATTTTGGCACATAAGGCAGAAAATCCCCAAAGCATCTACTCTCTTCCCATGCCTGGCTGTAGAAATCATTGCGAGACTGGTCCTGAATCAAAGAGGTAGCCACCTCAGTGGTCAGCCAGGCCAAGATATACTTCCCAAAATACATGGCCATGACAAAGAACTTATTAAAAGCCTGCTACAGGGACAGATGTCATTCAGAAGGCATCCTATGGCTTGGTAGTACAAAAGCAATGTTTGCCCTGGTTATCTAAAGCAGTGGTCCCCAACCTAGAGTCTCCAGATGTTCTTGGGCTACAACATCCCAGAAGCCTTCACCACCACCTCTGCTGGCCAGGATTTCTGGGAGTTGAAGTCAAAGAACGCCTGGAGGCCCAAGGTTGGGGACCACTGATCTAAAGCACCAGGAAGTTTATCATGGCTACCAGTTGACGCTTCTAGAAGTCAGCACAGGCTGATAACCATGATGATAAAACTATATTCACAGGCAATTTTGATAACTATGCAAAATATATTGCAAACTAACTATGCAAAATATATTGAAACTGACAAAATGACCTGCTCTGCCTCATAATCATCTGGTGAAAAGGCCATGCTGACTGCGGGATTCTGGGGGTTGTAGTGTGAAACACCCCCACTCCCACATGTTTTCATTTTTAAAGCACAATATGGAAGAATGTGGGAAGCTACTTGCTTTTCAGTATGAATGAAAATGCTGAAGTACATTGCTCAGAACCTTACTGGTGTTCATATAAGGTTTGCATAAGTTGCTAAACCTAATTGACAAGGTGTCTGGACACATCTTGGTTGCACAAATGAATGTATGGCCAAGCATGCAAATGAGATACACTCTATTACTTTATCACACAATTAGCTGCAACTAATTCCACAAATAGGGTTCTGGCCATTGTGAAAACCTTTTGCATGGAAATGACTGTTTACGTTTTGTATCAGCTTAAATTTCCTTTTTCAGTACCTCTGGGGGAAATCTAATAAAATGAATGTGGATGGTTTTAATATATTAAACTATTCTTTTTTTTTAAAAAGGGAAAGGGTGTTCAAGTGAATTCAGAAGTTTTACACAGTTTTCAGAGTCTCTGAACTTGCCAATTAAAAATATTTCAAAGTGCAGTCTCACCAGAGTTCTAACTTCTAGCTTCTTTCAGAGGGATTGATGGTATTAAATATTTATAGCTGGGAATAAAATCTGCATAATTCCAAAGTCAACAGGATATGGCATGACTGGAAGAACTTCAATGTTTTTATGTTATTGCTAATGATTTATTTGACAGCCAGGAAAATGAAGCTCACCTTTGAAAGTAGTATAACAACATTACTCAGACTCAAGACATACTATTTTCTAGAAGTCAAATTATGCAACTATCTGCTCCCAGGGTACTCTTATTTCAGAAGGGTGTTTTTTTAACGAAGCGGACAATCTCAAGATACTTCACTTAGTGGCATTTAACCATAGGTCTGCCTGACACACTTCAAAAAGTCCATACAGAAAATAGTCTTGGGGGGGGGGGGGACAGGGCACTGCAGTAGGAGTTAGAGCCTGAATGGGAGAACACAGAGGGTCTGCTCCATTCTCCTTAAGACTCAAGGCAAGCCTCCTTAAAAGAGGTGTGAGGAGCTGCCATACAGTGACTGAACTGGAAGGTCTGTTTTCATTTCCAACATTCCTGAAAAGAATTTTAATTTTTCTGTGCCACCATGATATTAAGTCAATTTTCCACCCAAGTCCATGACACACAGAAGCAAGGCCAACACAAGACATTTCACTGCCAGAGGTGAAGATTAAGATCATTCCCTCCATTTCATATACAGAAGACAACTGGACCAGAAGTCAAATTTCAGTTCAGCATTGCAAACGGACAACACCTTAAGAGCACCAGGCCAAGAGACTTTGGAGGGGCTCTTCCAGCCAGACTGAATTAGAGCTTAGATCATCTTTTGGCCCACACAACTGATGACAGCTCTTCTCATTCCTGTATATAACATGTAAGCTGAGGTTGGGGCTTAGACCTTAGACCAGCTGATCCAACCTTGGGACCCTTAATACTGCTGGACTACAGCTCCCATCAGCTGCAGCCAGAATGGCGAACCGCCAGGGATGACAGTGAGAGCTATAGTTTCAAAAATATCTGAGGACTCAAGGTTGTGAACCACACTGTGCAAGTTTCAGCTCAGTTAGTTTGGGAAGACCATTCCGCTGCCCCCCCCAAGCTTTCCCAAAAAAAGGGAAACTCCATGGTTCTTTTATGTTTAGTGTTAATGAATTGCTTGGTAAAATGCTACAGTTCCCTGGACTACTAATAGTAAGCTTTGAGGGGCCTCTGCAGTGCTCTGAGTGAGTCGGGATTAGACCTTGACTAGAACTTGAACTAAAAAGCTTAGAAGAAAACAACAGGAGACATGTCTAATTTATATATAGTGAATATATATATATCTTTCACTGAACTTACTATTTCTGACATAAGCTCAGCTCTACTCAAGATATGCATATTAATGAATATTTCAGATGTTAAATCTTAAGTAATAAAGACTGAATTAGTGTCAAAGAGACAATAGATTATGCCTAACTGCAAGAGAAAATAAGAGGGAGAAGCAGTAGCTTCAATTTAATAATTTTAAGCTGTTACATGCTGTCAAGTCACATCCAATTTAGGGTGACTCCAAAGTATGTGAAATATTTAAGGAATGTTGTTGCAATTTTACCATAGGTTTCCATGGTCCAGTGGGAATTGGAACGTAGGCCTCCTGAACTCCAGTCCCTCACTCTTATCTAGTAAAGTCTGAAGTGACTCTCAGTTTTAAGCTGCAATGGTACAGTCTTGGTTAAATGATACACTTGAACATGGTGATCTAGGGATCCTATAGAATAACATTTTGCTTAAGTTAAAATAAACTTGATTCAAGTTGATAAAAAGGCTTGGGTTGATGATTCTGAAAGATTTGGGTTCTTCTTCTTCTTCTGCTCAAGAGTGCCGTCTGAAGCAGCTTCAGAAGTTGCTAATTTTGCTTAATTTTAATTCTGGTAAATCTTACTGGAACCATTTTAATAAGGGACAGGGGAACAAACAGATTTCAGAAGCTATGTTTTACCTAAGGTTGCTAGTTGTTTGAAATGAAGACAGGCATTAGGTTGACCCAACAGATCCAGTCGATGATAGAGTAGCTTGCTACTAGGTACCGTGTTGAGGTTTTTCAATTGTCTAACGGGTATTTCTGGCTGTATCACAACTATGCACAGGATAAACGATGTATCTTGAACCTACACAAACATCAACCACAAAGACAACAATCAAATCTTTAAATAACCAATTTTAAAGAAACTGTCTTCCAATTTTATTAATATTACTAGAGTATAAACATTATATATCCTTTTGGATAAATTATTCTAAATGTGTAAATGTTACAACATGCAAAATAAACCACTGATCAGCCTGTAGATTTTATTTTTAAAGCACTTAAAACACACACACACACACACACACACACACACACACACACAAGCTATGAGATAAAGTGAAACCACCCTGCATCCCAAAGATTTTTCTTTTTAACTGCCTTCCATAGGTTTTATACAAATCCACTTGTTGAATTCGCATTTTCAGAAGACTAGAATTCTAAATATATAAACCTTTTTTGGGGGGGGGGAATACCAGTATATTTGGGAGGAAAGAATATTATTCTTTTGCAGAACTAACTCTCATGACTAGAAAATGCAAAATCAGAATGATTTGCAAGTCTATACCAAAATCATGCCATATACATTATGGAGTTAGCATTCCTATAAGTGAGGGGCCACTGAAATGTTCAGAAACTAATGTTGTGCAACGATGCCACCTCTCATAAGCGGTTTCAAAGCTTTCTCCAGTTGATTTCTGAAAATTGGTTGGAAACCTCATTCATAAACAGCCAGATACACAAATCCCTTTGATATTTTTTTTTTCCTCTAATGAACAATTTATCCAAGACATGACTCTCAGCTTTGGAAAATCCCAGGTTTATACACAGGTATCATTATGACCCACAGGCCATGCAAATTCCCCAACTCTTTATAAGATATAAAGAGAATAATTCCTATTTTTATGTAATTAAAATCTGCATTCTGATTCAGTGCATTAGCATACTTTAAAGTGAGTTCTGTAACTTACCATTTTCCAGGCATAACTCACGTTGTAGGCCTCTTTCCCAATTTCACGCAGTTTGTTTACATGCCAAGACAGTGAGGAGTTCACAGGGACTGTAATAAGCTGGCTGCCTAGAGGGAGGCTAAGTTGGCAACACACAATATCTATCCGTTATTAAAACAGGAAAGAAACTCAGTGCTTCTGTTTACTTTAAACTGAGATTACTTTAAAAAGGGCTGCATGGAATTTGTTCTTCATTAAAGTAAAAGTGGATTGCTGTGCCACATAATATTTATCATCTCACATAGCCAAGTACGGCTGAGTCTGGCCCTATAATTCTGACAAGTAAAACTGGTTACAGATCAAGATATTAGTGAGAATACCATCAGTGGAATGGACTCACTAAAGGCACCGTTTGTAGTTAGCAACAGAGATGGAAATGGCTATTTATTGCTCACTAGCACGAATGGCCATAGTAAGCCTTCGAATTGAGAAAAAAAATTAGTGCTGAATTCACTCAGCAAATGTTGGTTCTTATATATCTACATCAGAGGAGTGGAGTATGTATCTTGTGATAAGAGTTTGTTGGCTATCTGCAGCTGAAGTAGCCCACTGTGGTTCTCCAGATAGATGCTTCTGGTCTACAACTCTCATCAAATCTGGCCAGAGCCTGGAAAACTCTCAGAATCCCCCAGCCAGCGTGGCTATAGTGCAACTAAATATTATTTCCAAGGTAGCTGGCACAGTCAATGGTAAAGTATAATGAGAACAGCAGTCCAGAAATATCAGGGAGGGGCAGAGCAGCCCACGCCTTGCATATACTCACAAAAAAGGCAGGCTGTAGCATTATGGATTTACTCTAAGTTCTAGTTCATTTTCAGAAGGCAACATTATAGTATTTCAACACTAAGTACATCACAGTATTCAACGGTCAAAGTTACAAAAGGACAAATAACTCTTGTGAAAAACTGGAACTGTCCTATAATTAATAACTGAAAGCTACATTTATCAATCATTTGTACTGATTTTTCTAAAACACCGTTTAAAACCCCATAGAATAGCTATTAAACAAAACCTGTATGAGAGAGTTCAAGATATTTATGCTATGATTTATTACTTTAAAATAACTGAACAAGTTGTTCATGCAGATTTGCATGCTCTAGTTCTCTCTTCTTCTATAACATTTTTTCTGTGACTCTAGGCACATTCATTTTCCAAACTGTAAATGTAAGTGCAGGAAGGCTTCCTACCATACAGAGGTGATATGGAGATTAAGGCCTACTAGATTACTTCGAAGATGAAAAGCTACATAGGGTATCTATTATTATGATATAGGCATTTGAATTATGAATGGTAAAATATGACCATAAAACAACCAACCAAAGTAAATGTAAACTAAAACAAGCAAGTGGGCAAGGTTTAAAGGTTAATTGCTAGCTGAAGCTATTAAGATATATAGACAACAATAATTCAGAGTGAGTAAAGCAGACATAATTAGTACTGCAACACACCAGTAAAACAGCCCAATGCTTGCTGTTTTGTTCTGCATCCTATCTTGTCTCATAAGAGACAGATTTTAAGCTATTTTTCCAGGGGCTCTCTCCATTTTCTTTGTAACTTTATGTAACACCAAGGAGCGCTAAATCCAGAAGTTGAAAAGTAGCTCTTTCTTGTACGGCCTTGATATAATGACATCAGGAGTTTAGCTCCAGACATTCAATAGTCTTAAATCATGCCTTTTATGGTGAAATCAATGTTTCTCCTTTTGACATCTCAACACCAGGGAAAGTTTAAAATGGTCCAACATTCCAAAAGAAGGTCTGATGGAAATTATCAATGGCAGAATGGGGACAGGAATGATTTTTGAGTCAAGAATTCAAGATCAGAATATACACAAAATCAAAATTGCTTTGTTAAAGTACCAGCTAGAAGGGCAGAAAGGTTATAAAAATGATTTACAAACACATGAAACGGGAATTTTTCACAGTACTCTTACCTAGGAATAACTAACATTTTAAAAATAGGAAATGAAATATAAAATAAGTATTTGACGACTAGAGCATTCTGAGCTATGAGACATGTATCCAGGAAAATGGAAGAAGGTAGTATTCCACTTCCTCCTGTTTACCATTTTGGAAGGTAGCATACACAACAAGAATGTTCTCTTGATTAGGCCCCACTGAAAAGTAGGGAGACAACCTTAAGACTACTCCTATACCCCTTGGTTTCCTATGCTGTTCTCATTAATTTCAATAGCACTTTTGCAGGAAGAGACTGGTTTGTACTTACTCTAAAAAACAGTCTTTGAATGAACTACACTAGGCATGATTCAAAGACATGAGACGGTCACATGGGAATTGTATTTGATGAGTTAGAAACCATTAAGAACAACATAATGTCTACTGGACATTAAGTTTGCATATATCAAGTCTGTAGAAGAATAAACTCAGAAGTCTTACCTAAGGATGTTCTTTCGAACCAGTTCAAATTTTGGAATATTCTCATAATGTATTATATCTGTGTGAAGTGGTGGCTCAGAAAGCAAGTAGGGTCTGGTAAGAGAAGGGTGCATAAGAGTGTATCCTAAAAAGAAGAAGAAAAACAGGTAACAGATGTTGTGTTATTTTTGGCAGACATTACAGATGTATTTGGATATTATAAACTGTACAAAATATTGACATGCATTCTAGTCCCATTCCTTTCACCACTTCTGTTACTCTCTTACCAATGAAGGGTAGTGAGTCTAAAGAGGGAAAGCTTCTACCTACCACGGGGACTCTCCACATGAGTCAGGATCAGGCAGGTACGGGGATTCAAGTTGTGGCACTTGCTGTCAAGTCAGGCTTAAGTCACACTGGAGACTTGGTGTGGATTCGACTCGCAACTTGGAACTTAACCACTCTGTCCCTTTTTTGGGGGGGGGGCAAGCTTGTTTTTAACAGGGGCTTGGACTTGAGGCTTGGGACTCAGGGCTTGGAACCAAAGGCTCGGACTCTGACCCAAAGACCATCCCTGGGATCAAGTGTCCTGAGTGGAGTCTTTCCCTCTTCAGACTCATTGCTCTCCACATGTAAGAGAGTGACAGAAGCGATGAAAGAAGTGGGACTAAAATGACATCTCTATGTTAGTACTCAACACCGTTTCTAATGCGTGAATAGAGCTAATATTTATAACATTTATGAAATCCAAGGCTGAAGTCCAGTAGTACCAAGTCACAATAAGAAATCCATGCGGGTCTGGTGTGTCAAATCCTCTGTTAAGTTCCACTGGTTCAATAGGTCTACTCTAGTTGCAGCTTACTACTGAATTTCAGCCATTGCTTACTTACACAATGGTCCACTGTAGAATTATTAATGATAATCCATGTTAAATTTTAATGCTTACTTCTTGGTGCTTCCTGCTAATTTTCTATATAAAAATCCCACATAACAATAAGTAGGTTAAAAATGCACAGAAGGCATAGGATATTTTTAAAAACCCAACAAAGTTCATCTAGAGAGTACAAAGCATATTACGACCACAGGATTTAGATAACAAAGCTTTTTTTCAAAAACTGCAGATTTGAATATTGCCCTCTAAGACAAGCAGTAAACTAAGCTATTTCGAGTTACCTTTATTATCTATCAGAAATGTATAAGAAGCCAAGGAATCTTGGTAATAGGTGACATCTTCCAAAATATAAGCCAGGTTAACATCTACTCCAACAATTCCTAGTAGCAGGTTTCCAAAATAACAAGGCTTGCTTACAGTCATTATCAGACCTGTGAACAAGAAAAGACACACATAACACTAGCAGTAAGAAAATTTTCAGCACCTTCATTTGGGATGAGAAAAAATACACATAGCCAAAACCTTGGAACATTTCCTTGGAAATCAGTAGCACTCAACTACCAAGTAATCACATGTCTGAATGGAGTGTTAAGAGGCTTAAAGAAGGAAGACGAACCTACATTGTTCATGTTTATCACCCTTCCCCAATTATACTTTGACAACAACTTCTATCAGTAGATGATAGTACAACCAATGCCAATGAATAATGGGAGCTGCAGGCCAAGAACATCTGGAGCAACCGAAATGCGAGATGCATGCACATCACAACAGATCCTATCCTCTCTTCTATGGGAGAAAAAGCAATGCTTCTTATATTAAAAATAATTAAACTTTTAGAATTGCAGTCTAAATGCTGCACCTATTTTCCAAAGCTGTTTTAGCTACATCAGATCATACTATCAGCAATCCAGGTATAATCTATGTGTTATTTTTGGCTAGGGAATCTATAATGGGAATTATACCAGAAGGCAGTTCAAAGGAAGAACCCCATTCACCAAGAGATGTTAACACAATCCACTCTGAGATCTCATAATTATTCATACCAGTAAGACTAGGGTGCTGGCTGGATAGCTCACTGAGTTAGGCAGAGCCAGAAGTTGGGAGTTCCAATTTCCCACTGTGCCTCCTATGTGCCGAGCCAGCACGTGTGGTCTTCAGCAAGCTGCACCACAGGCCTGGATGACCCGAGAAGAAAGGAATGGTAAACCACTTCTTAGTACTATCTACCTAGAAAACCCCAAAAAGGGTTTCCATAAGTCAGAATTGACTTGATAGCACAACAACTATTGCTATAATTATTAAGACTTAGAGTAAGAAGAAAAAAAGTTTATATCCCTAAATTGAGAGAGCGTTATTTCTGCCAAACAGAATTCAGTGGAAGGGTGATACATTACTATCTCTTAACACTTTTAAGGTAGACATAACCAGCTTTTATAGTAATCTGAGGAATCATGCCCACTGAATTCCAATGAAAGCTGGACATGGATATTTAGTTTCTTTAAATATCCCCTCCCAAATTATGCAGGCTTGGTGTACTATTTCTTGCTTCAGCACAGCATGGAGATTGATGATACACTTCTTGAAATGATTATTGCAATAATCCCACAGAATAAACAGCAGTATGCATAAGGGATATCAAGAGAGCTCAGTAAGAGAAAGAAAAAAAAAGTACGTAATTATATATACATATTTATTTTATCCAGTCTTTCCCTCAGGGAGATCAAGGAATGATATATACACAAGGGGTTCCCAGACTGTGTCTCATCTGGGCATGACCACACCCAAACTTGCTTTGCTGCAACAAAATCGTTCCATCACATCTCCACCCTTTAGAAAATTAGTTTTCCCCTTATATTGCTCTTGGCAATCTAAATCCCTGTACAGCAACTGATCAGGAATTCTACAACAGAGGCACACAATTATTTTGGATTTCTAATTTCTACAGCCTTGCCAGCTAGATTCCCAAGGACATGAGGAAACAGAAATGTTTTGCAGACTAGGTATTCATTTTTTAAAACCACAAGAACACTCAATTTACATCATTCTAATTGCATTTTACCACTTAAACCTTAACACTTTTGGTCTTGGAGATTTGGTGCTCACTTAGATTTAATTGAAAGCTCTTTAGATTTAGATTTAATTGACAACCTTTTGGCACACAAGTACCTGGCTTTTAAAAGGATGGGTACTGCATTTTATTTGCTTATATATATAAAAAAATACGCTTTTATGGTTTTTGTAGGTTTTTCAGGCTGTTTGGACGTGTTCTTAAGGTTTTTCTTCCTAACGTTTTGCCAGTCTCTGTGGCCGGCATCTTCAGAGGACAGAAGTCGGTGCTCTGTCTGTGCTTTTAATTTAACTGGGCAGTATCCTGTTGATAACCAGTGGATTTTGTATCTGATGTAAGACATCTCAGGTATAGGAATTCCAGGAGAAAGGATGAAGACCTAAGAACTAGAAGTTTGAACTGGCAAGCAGTGCAGTTCATTACAGAGCAGTTATGTTACCCTCTTCCAAACTCTGCCATTGCTACTTGCCTCTCTTTCATATTTTTAAATACATGAAGGTACTATATCAGATTATATATTCCTGGTGAAAGAACTTGTAGTATTATTATTTTGTTGCTGTTTCCATGTTCTTTAATTAAAGTTAGCAAAAAAATAAAAAAAGCCCAAACCCACCCTTTCCCAGTTCAGCCATGACTTCTCCTCCTCCAAAAGAGCCCAACGTATACAGTAATTATCAGTTAACCCATGGGTAGCTTTTCTCATAGCTGGAAAAGGAAGGATAAAAAAAGAGGTTACTTACCTGTAACTCTGGTTCTTCGAGTGATCATCTGTGAATTTACACTAATGGGGTTAACTCACCCCTGCGCAGAGTGATCTCGGAACCTTCTAGATCTCAGGCACATAGTGCCAGGACCCCCCCCCCCACGCTGCCTATAACCCCGCCCTGGCACTGAGTGCCTCAGTTCCATTGAACTGTCCGTTGCTGCGCAGCATGCCGTGAGGCACACATGACGGCTAATGGGGAGGACGGGTGAGAAGTGTGAATTCACAGATGACCACTCGAAGAACCAGAGTTACAGGTACGCAACCTCTCTTTCTTCTTCGTGGTTTCTCTGAATACACACTAATGGGGGATTAACAAGCTTAACTACCAGATGTCACGAAAGAACAGATGCCAGGACAGCATGGCCAACAGCAGCCTCAGCTTTAGCTTGGATGTCCAAACGATAGTGAGCTATGGTTTCTCTGCATACACACTAATGGGTGATTAACAAGTATAACTACCAGATGTCACGAAAGCTCTTTGCTGGTGTATCCTGATAATGGCCTTCTGTACCAGTGGTATGGGTGGAAACATGTACAGAGGCTTTTGCGCCCACGAGATCATGAACGCGTCTCGTGGCTGCTTTACAGATATCTGTCAAGTCCACCCCTCTGAAGAAGGCCGTAGAGGAAGCCACAGCCCTGGTGGAATGGGCTCATACAGTACATGGTAGGGGAGTCTTGGCCAATTCATAAGCCAGGAGAATTGTGGAAACTATCCACTGAGAGATTGTCTGTGGAGATACCGGAGAACCCCTTGATTGTCCATGAAAGGAGACAAACAAATGCTGGGATGAGCGGAAGGAAACAGAGTGAGAGACAAAGTACGCAAAGGCTCTCTTAGCATCCAGAGAGTGGACAGCCCACTCCAGGCTAGAGGCAGGAGACGGACACTCTGTTTGTTGAGGTAAAACACTTCTGTGGTGTTGTTTGAACTACTCTGCTGAGGAGATGTATTTTGAATGCATGGAAGGCTTTGTAGACAGCCAACTGTTCTAGGTGGTCGATACGTAACGGCCGTTCTATTGGTGACCAAAGGCCAGAGGGGCTTGCATCTGTAGTTCGTTGGACATCTGGAGCCAAAGGACCAAAAGATCTGCCTATTAACAAATTCAGGCAGAAGTTCCACCAGGAGAGCTGCACTGCAAGCTCAACGCTGACTGATAGGAGCTTGGATGGCGGAATCAACAAGGGCTTGCAAAGTGACAGGAACCACGCCTGTAATGACCGCATCTTCAGTCTGGCATGCCGGAGCACCGATGTAGTCGACGCCATGAGTCCTAGTAAACGTTGTACTTGTAGCACTGAGGCCCTGGTGTCCGGGAGGAAGAGAGCCACCATCTCCTCGATCTTCAAAATATGGTACTCTGGAAGAAAGGCCCTGCCCACAGAGGCATCCAGAACCACACCGAAGTCTGAAACCCTCTGAGTGGTCTGCAGAGTTGATTTGCTAGAGTTCACTTGGTAAGTCCCAGAGCAGATAAGAGGGGCAGTGTGAACGATATGTCGGTGTTCAACTGGGCCTGTGTTGGCGCCTGTTACATACAGCACTGATGTTACCTGTCTGTCATGGGTTTGGAGGGAAAGTTCCATCCTATGGGGAGTGGAAGGCGGGACATCAGGAGGAGGGGCTGTACTGTATAAATATGTGATGCCTGTGTGGTGAGAGAGAGATGCTGAGAGACACTGGGTTGTGACGAAGCAGCAGCTGGGAAGAAGAAGCTGTTGTGGGAGTCTGTGTGTCAGACAGGGTACTTCTGTGTGTCAGAGTACCAACCTGATAGGTTCAGGTGTCTGTCGGTTAGCCAGAACTGATGGGTTCAGGGTCTGTGCTTCAAGTTAAGGGTTCTGGGTGAATGCTGTTTGTTGAGGTAAAACACTGCTGTTGTGTTGTTTGAACTACTCTGCTGAGGAGAATGCATGGAAGGCTTTGTAGATAGCCAACTGTTCCAGGTGGTCGATATGTAACGGCCGTTCTATCGGTGACCAAAGGCCGTGCACTGTCAGATGTCTCAAGTGAGCTCCCCAGCCAGAGGGGCTTGCATCTGTAGTTAGTTGGACAGCTGGAGCCAAAGGACCAAAAGATCTGCCTATTAACAAATTCAGGCAGAAGTTCCACCAGGAGAGCTGCACTGCAAGCTCAACGCTGACTGATAGGAGCTTGGATGGCGGAATCAACAAGGGCTTGCAAAGTGACAGGAACCACGCCTGTAATGACCGCATCTTCAGTCTGGCATGCCGGAGCACCGATGTAGTCGACGCCATGAGTCCTAGTAAACGTTGTACTTGTAGCACTGAGGCCCTGGTGTCCGGGAGGAAGAGAGCCACCATCTCCTCGATCTTCAAAATATGGTACTCTGGAAGAAAGGCCCTGCCCACAGAGGCATCCAGAACCACACCGAAGTCTGAAACCCTCTGAGTGGTCTGCAGAGTTGATTTGCTAGAGTTCACTTGGTAAGTCCCAGAGCAGATAAGAGGGGCAGTGTGAACGATATGTCTGTGTTCAACTGGGCCTGTGTTGGCGCCACCAGCAACAAATCTTCAAGATATGGAAAAATCAGTGATACCGTGCAAATGAAGGTAAGCCACCACCGGG